GCTGGTCACCTTCAAAAACATTTCTTTTCTTCTCCAAGAGACAGCGCTGCCATGAAAAACAGGAAGAGATTGAACACAGTAATTTAAACAGTCAAACTCCATTTCCTGCCCAAAGGAAAAGAAAATACCGTCAAAAGGCAGAAGCCGGGCAATAGTTGGGGACAAACACTTTGATTATCTTGGATAGATATTTGTGCTGTGTATCCGGTAAAAGCTACAACGATGGAGGTGACACCTTTTCATTTCAGGGAGTGGAGTCTGTTAGGCTGCAGAGTAGCAGGTGATGCTGCGAGGCACGTCAGGGTGATGAGGAGACCAGGAGCTCCCAGGATAGCAGCCCTGGGTTGCAACCACCTCCGAAGCTGAGAGTCAGGATCATGTGCCAATAACAAAGCACGTTTCATCGCAAGTCAAGGCTCCAGCAAGGATCCCCATTACTCTCGCTTCTCCCCAGCAGGCCCTGGCACCCTCATGCTGCTTTGGGGTCAGTCTCCAATACTCTCATCTTCTTCATCCAATCTTGTATGTCCTACACAGCAGTTCACTTGCTTGGTCCCCAAGGCAGAGGGGAAGGTTCCCCTGCCTCCTCTACTGAGCATCCCAGTAGTGCAATTGTCACTGCTCTTAAAAATGAGTCCTATGCCGTAGTGGTGAAAATCAACAAATCCCCCAATGATCAAGTCCTGTACTGACATGGCTCATTTACATCTCTGTCTTTCTCCAAAACTGCCTTTAAAACAAAACCAGAAACAAATAAAAACCCCAAAACAAATAAAAACCCAAAACCAAATGAAGAACCAAACAACAGAAACCAAGCATTTCCCAACTGTATCAACAGTTAATTCCAAAGTTTACAAAGTGTATTTCAACCACGGCTTTCTTATCCAACATGAAGATCATTTTCCTATGTTTTTTCCCTCCAGAATAGACCTTCCTTCTTCCAACACTCTGCATGTCTATACAGCGTCACTCCCTCTGCTCTGTACATTGATCACAGAATCACAGAAGCATAAAATGTGGGGGGTTAGAAGGGACCGCTGTGGATCATCAACCCCCCTGCCGAAGCAGGGTCACCCAGAGCAGGCTGCACAGCACCATGTCCAGGGGGGTCTTGAATATCTCCAGAGAAGGAGACTCCACAACCTCCCTGGGCAGCCTGGGCCAGGGCTCCA